AGATTAAAAAAATTGATAATTTGATACTGGGTTGAATAGGCTGATCAAAGTAGAAAGCTGGTAGCAAAGAAAAATTTATTCCTAAGAGAAACTGTTTTAGAGAACAGGAATAAAGAAAACAAGACTTGATAAAGATGTTTTAAAACTACTATTAAATAACCAGAACTGTCAGATCAGAGAGTCACTAAATATGAAAATGCAAATCCTAAAAAAGAGAAGTGATAGGGAGGAAGATCGGCTGAGTTAGGGTCTGTAACCACAAGGAAAAAACTCAGTAATTGTTTTGGGTGGAATTATATTAGATTCATTAATTTTAGGGAACACACTGTATTCCCATTTCGAAAAAACTGCTTTTACCACATACAGTTTATATTCCAATATTTCCTCACTTGATAAAACTGCCTATACACGTGAAATCACTATGCAATGGGAGGCAACAGAGCAGTAGTTAAAATATGGACTCTGGAAAGACTACCCTGGACAAGCTTCATAATTTCTCTGTTCTTCAATTTCTTCATGTGCCAAATGGAAATAAACATTTCCTGTATCATAAGATTTTTGTGAGGCTTAAATAGTTAGTACATGAAAAATACCCAGAATTGTGCCCAGCACAGAATAAGTATGACTTATTAGCTGCTGCAGCTGCTGCTCTTCCTCCTCCGCCTCTTCCTCCTCCTCCTCCTCTTCCTCCTCCTCCTTCTACTGCTACTATTACTACTACTACTACTACTACTACTATTACTACTGCTGCTATTATTACTTGAAATAAGCTATCAACAAAATAAAAAAGAGAAAGCTAGAGTACCAAGGCCACTGCCCAGAAAAGAAATGTTTAGAGGCATCCCCAGTCTTTTATTGATGAAAAGTTACTTTTCATTTCCCTGAAATCTTAAGTCACTTTGGGGAAAGTGGAGACAGTATGGTAACAATGCATTTCTGTTAACAGAAGTGAGGAGAGGCCATCCCTGCTGGCTGTATTTCCCTGCCTGGAAGGAAGACAGACAACAACAAAAAAGAATAACACTAGCAATTATCTTGGAGATCTACCAGGAAGAGCATTCAGATCTAAATTTTGGCACTTCACTCTTGGACACCTGGAACAGAAGTTACTGGGAGGTTGTTCTGCCAGGGAAACTTCCATTAAAGAAAATACCACAACCAGTCTGTCAGACACCACCTGAAATAAATTCTACTAACACGCAGGCGACACTATAGGGAAACACTACCAACCCCCTCACAGCAATTTTTAGGTTTGTAGAGTGCTCCATATGAAACAAACAGGCTATTTTCCAGAATGTTCTGAAATGTGTTGTTCTCAAAAAAAAAAAAAAATCAATGTAATGCCTCTGAAACAAGTCCAAATAGCAATAGATCAGGTGGAGATCACAATATTACCAGAGCTAGCTTTATCAAGTTATATTTTAAAAGCTAATGTCATTTCACCCTGCTAACTAAAACTTAACAACTTGTCTCTAAAGATACTTATCTAAGTTATTCAGGATAAATGAAAGCATTTAGACTTATCTATTAAAAATGAACAAGAGAAGCATGCCAAATATCTTAATATAATATCACCAATCTTAGTATAAACCAAATTTACTCTAAATTTATTTTCTATTTGATCAAATAGTCATCAAAAAACAAATATTCTGAGAGTTCTTTTACAAAGGCATGTTATTTCTCAACATCTATGCGTTGCCAATTTTTAAGTAAATCAACCACGATGGTCTTGCCAGCCACCCCTCCACCTCTACACCACCAATGATAATTTCAGTAATAGTCAGGCCCATGCTAACTTAGGCTACCGGGATCTAAGGAAAAATTGTCTAGAAAATTTGGAAAAAAGAAACTTTCTGACTCTAAATAGAGACATGTAAAGCCAGTGTCTGTCACCCCCAGAGTCACAAACAAAAAAGCAGAGTTCCAACTTTCACTGACAGTCTTATAACCACAAGGAATCTAAGCCCTCCAATGACACCATTACTGTGAGTGGCAGAGATGAGAAGCGGAAAGCACCTGGATGTTTGATTCTTCTTGTATGAACCGTATCAAGTTTCTCTAGTTTCTTATTTAAGCCAGTCTTATGTTTGTGCTCCAAAGCATCCTAAGTTATATGTTTTATTTTCCAAGTCTATTACTAGGTAAGAATTTCACCCATTCTCATTTAAAGTTAGCAAAAAAAAAAAAAAAAAAAAAAAATTATTCTCCCTTAAAGAAGCTGATAATGCACATAACAGAGCGTCATTAAAACAAATAGGTACTAACAGTGAAACAGCAGGACTTCAATAACTTTTTAAATAATTTTCATATATTTTTCTATTTAAGATTTAGCTACAAAGTAGATCATTGCTAAAATATTACAGAAACACAAATCTTTCAATTTGGTATAGAAATGTATTTTTATAGCCCTCTTATATTATTTATAGTTATTTTATTATAGTTATTGACTACAGTTATTGCTTTTTAGGGGCAAAAAACACCATAACTTGTTATATCCTAAAGTATCAGCCATATTAATACTATTTAAGTCATAATAAAAGAAGAAAGCTTACTGCCTCTTACATGGCTGAGCTTAGTTTTTTAAAATATCTTTAGAATTTTCTGCCAATTAGCCAAATGGAAGAAATTATTTGCAACCTACAGAGAAGCCAACATTATTTACTTTAACCATTAATCATAGTTACATCTTTACCAGGCTAGATATAAACTGTTAAAACACAAATGAAGATGCTTCTAAAAAGTAGTGATTTACACAAATAACAGCAAAAAGACAAGAAGGTATAATATTAAAGTAGGGCAGAAGTAGAAGATACAAATGGAATAACTAGTTCATGGAAAGTGGAAAAAAGCAAAAAGAGGAAGAAGGGAGGAAACCACTCAGAAGTCTTTATAAAAAAGGACAATCTCTCTGATACATGCATAGATTAGGTGTTATATAAGGCAGACTGATATTTTAACAAGATCACATCAATATGCATTTAAAATTAGAGAACTCACGCTTTCCAAATAAAATCAGCCTATTTTATAAGCTCTGCGTGTGTGTGTGTGTGTGTGTGTGTGTGTGTGTGTGTGTGTGTACATTTTTTGAGAGAGAGTCTCACTCTCACCCAGGCTGGAGTGCAGTGACACTATCTCAGCTCACTGCAACCTCTGCAAACAATTCCTGTGCCTCAGCCTCCCCCATAACTGGGATTACAGGCATGCAACACCATGCCTGGCTAATTTTTGTATTTTTAGTAGAGATGGGGTTTCACCATGTTGGTTGGGCTGGTCTCGAACTCCTGGCCTCAAATGATCCATCCACTGCAGCCTTCCAAAGTGCTGAAATTACAGCTGTGAGCCACTGTGCCACACCTTTACAAGCAATATCAGATGAGCATTACTTCATACACCTTAGTTAACGTTGTGGTAGGTATTTTTAAGATTAACTCATATCACAAATACACTACAGAATAGAATTAAATTGGAGCTGAAAAAAGTAATGTATCCATTTGAGTATCCATCTACCTAATATATCCAATCTTCAAAGAGAACCTGGTTGGGCCTCAAAATAATGCAAATGGACAAACTTTACCAGGTATAGGGCAATAAAAGATAACTTCATCAACCAGAAAAGGCTCCCTAAAACCTAGGATTACTGCTTGCCAACGGACAAACCTGACCACAGCTGTAGTTCAAATAGACCAGGAGTACAGTAGGTGGGGCTGGTGGAGCCAAGAATGTGTGACTTCCTACTAAAATTAGTCATGCCCATTTCACCACAACTGGGTTGGGCTTCTCTATTTTAAGGTGTGCAGCTCCAAATTGCTTATGAGTATATAATTGCTGGATAGTTTCTGAAGCTAAAAGTGTCAGCAGACTTTCCACCAAGGCTTCAGGAAGGCCAACCTGTCTCCACAAAACCCCGACGCCTAATCGTCATGCTATCCAGGGTCCAAGTACACAGTAAGTAAAGACATACGCTGTTAAGTATCTAGAAAGACATACCATGCAAGAACACATTAAAAGAAAATAGGCAAGAAAAGATATTCCTTATTCTTGTCTGCTACCCCTGCCCCCTATCACACACACGCACAATAACAAATATGACAAAAGTTGGGGGAAACGATGAAAATCATGATATTAAAGTACTGTCCTCTCATCTTTTCAGGAAATTGTACAGGACTGACAGCTGAAACCCTTCCAAGTAATGTCACACTACTGTTTACCTCCCTCCAAAAGTACTGTGCTATTGGATAAATCCAACAGAAGGGGCTACTCAGTCTGCCTTCTGCATTCCAGAAACATCAGAAGGGAACTGGTGTAGCTTCCATGGGTACTAGCAGAAGAAAGTGCACTCATGTTTTAAAAAAAGACAATGAATTTCCAAATATAAATGAAAGAAAAAGACATGCCCGTTCAACAAAACTAATGATAACTTTATAAACAAATGCTGAAGTTGAGTTGTAAGTTATATGAGCTTAACACACACCTGAATTCAAGCTGCACAGATAACATTCATGATTTCTACAACCCCAGGGCAAAGACTTAACACCTATTTTATTACCAGCAACTTGAGACACTCAATGCAGAATACACATTTAGTAGTATTATTTTCCTATTACTATCATGATCCAGCAGTTGACAATATTAACACTTGCTTTGACAGATCGAATCAATTATTTCAAGAATTAACAGAACAGGCCAGGCACAGTGGCTCAGGCCTGTAACCCCAACACTTTGGGAGGGCAAGGTGGGTGGATCACTTGAGCTCAGGAGTTTAAGACCAGCCTGGGCAACATGGTGAAACCCCATCTATACAAAAAACTTATAAAAATTAGCTGGTGTGGTGGCGTGCATTGGTGGCCCCAGCTACTCGGGAGGCTGAGGTGGGAGGATCACCTGAGCCCAGGAGGCAGAGGTTGCAGTGAGCCATGACTATGCCACTGCACAGCCTGAGCAACAGAATGAGACCCTGTCAAAATAAAAAAAGGAATTAACAGAACACAGAAGACACATACCTTCATTTTCAGAGGCATGACATTTCACTTTCAACACCAAGTCAAAGGTTCTGTCTGGATTTGCCCTGAAAGAAAAGAGTTTGTTAAATTTATTTCCTATGACAAATAATATCCATCTCTATGAAACTTGTATTTTCTTTTCTTTTCTTTTTTATTTTTTTGAGACAGAGTCTTGCTCTATCAACAGGCTGGAGTGCAGTGGCAAGATCTCAGCTCACTGCAACCTTCACTTCCCAGGTTCAAGCGATTCCCTTGCCTCAGCCTCCCGAGAAACTGGGAGAACAGGCACATGCCACCACACCTTGCTAATTGTTTGTATTTTAGTAGAAAAGGGGTTTCACCATGTTGGGCAAGATGGTCTTGATCTCCTGACCTTGTGATCCACCCGCCTCGGCCTCCCAAAGTGCTGGGATTACAGGCGTGAGCCACCGCGCCCAGCCAAAACTTGTATTTTCTCAATTATAAAATTAATCTTGTTTTTGTCTCAATATATTTTATGTGACTATATTACTAGAATATAGCAGAAATAACAGTGAAAGTGTTTTCTTAATTGAGCAACTTAAAAGAGCTGAGACCTAGGAATTCAGCAACTCGAGGCAAAGCATTTAACCTCTGAAACTTGGGGCAAAGCATTGTTTTCCCTCACCTATGAGATGCCTTGTCTACTTCACAGAATAACAGTGAGGATTAAAATCAAACAACATATATGCAAGTACTTCATAAAGTACTAAGTGCTACAGAAATGCAAAGCATTGATTTTATCTTATTGGATCAAATTTAAAAGCCAGAGTGTCTCTAAGTGTCATTATACCCTGCCAACAGAGTTTGACACAGGTTCTCAAGCTCTCTTCCAAGGACTTGCAATGTAGGTGTAAATGATGGCATGGTTCCACCTGCCAAGTTCTAGATCACCGTAAAACATTTATAATGCTCCATCAATGTGACACTTTGCCTATACTTTTCTTGAGATGTATTTACTGTACTTAAGCATATTTAAAGTAGCAAATAGCAAACTATTTGTAGCTCTAAGGCTAACAAAATAAAAAGCCTTTTTTAAAATTAATTATCTTTGGGAAAACTGGCCATCTGATTCCGTGTCAGATTTTCCCACTATAAACTCTAAGCTTGCTTTGCTTCATTCAGAAGTTACTCTTTTTACTAACTTGCCACATTAGCAAAATTTCAAAGCAACATTGGTTAAATTTCAAAATGTGAACTGAAATCCAATGAGACACTTTTTTTCATAACGTTTTTTAAATCTCTCGTTCCATCAGAAGGTAACAGATTAAGTCTGATACCACAACCGCCAATATGTTAATATCTGTTATTCCTACTAACAAGACCTTAGTGCCGTTGTATATTGGCTGTATTTAATATATACTTCCTTCAGGAAATGAGTGCCAGCTCTGACTTTTAAAACATTTCTTCTTTTAAAAGCTTTTCTTACAAGCATGAATCTGGAAACATAGGAAGTGACAAGACATATAAATTAACTTGCAAATATCATTTTCTCAGTCTTCCCACTAATAACTTGCTTCAATGGGAATAATCTGGACTCAGATGACTTCCTCCCTCTTAAAACAATTAATGTCAAGAAGCATACTATTTTTACTCACTTACCCTGCCCACCATTATGTCAATCACACTGAAGAAAATAATTCTGTTACATAATTTCCCTCTTTCCCTAATATTCTTTAGAACCCCTCTTAGATGTAAAAGTTAAATATTGACTCAGTTTTATTTCTGTGGAATTCAAACGGCCCTTCCCAGTAATACAAATATACATGATATTATTTTAAACTTTGTGAGGAGGAGGTAGTGAAGGGTGGACAAGCGAAGAAAGAAAGAATTCTTTCCAAAGTAAGTTTCAGAAGAAAAATATAAAACTCATGCCTCTAAGATACCTAGAAACAAAACCACTACGGTTATCAAAACTGCTTTCTGCATAATCTCCTAAAGCAAAATAAATAGTCGCCGATAAATACTTTGGGACACATAAAAATATCCTCTAATTGGGTACCATTTTGCAAGGGTATCACGCATATGCAGTTCCTGCATAAATGCCAGAGACCCATTTAATTCTGTAAGCAGAATCATAAGAAGACATCCAAGACAAAACCGATAAATACACTTAAGGAAACACCGGTTATCCGAACGGCAGGCGAGCCCTCGGATCCCAGTCGCCGCCTCACCTCGGCGGTGCCTCCGTCCCGGACACCGCGCGCAGCAGCCCCAGGGAGTCGCCTCTGTCTGTCACCCTCGGGCGGCAGAGAAAGCCCCGGCGGCGGCGGCGGCGGAGGAGAGGCGCGGGGCGGGCAGGCTTTGCGGCCTAGCGCCGGCCGGAGGCTTGGGGACCGGGACGCCGGCCGGGCGCGGAGCGGGAAGGAGCCGAGCCGGCCCGGGAGGCCCCGCCGAGGGACGCCCGCCCCCGCGCCCGGGCCCCGACTCACCTGGTCCTGCGGTCCATGGTCGCATGTCGGTGCGGGCCGGCCTGGAAGCCCGCAGCCCCCGCGCACGCCGGCGGCCCCGCCGGGAGGAAGGCGGCTCACGGCAGCAGCGGCGGCGGCGGGCCCATGTCGGCTGCGCCCCCGGCGCCTCCCCGCCTCCCACCCCACCCGCCGGAGCCTCTGTGACAGCGGCCGCGTCGCCGCCGCCCCCGCCCCCGCCCCCGCCCGCACCGCCACCCACGCCGAGGCTTCAGTTCCGGCGGCTCCTGCACCTTCTGCAGCTCAGGAAGTCGCCGGGAGGGGGAAGCGGCGCGCGGGGACGCGGGCGGCGGCTTCACCTGGGCGGCGCGGCCGGCGGGCCCGAGGCTGCGGCGGGGGCGGGGCCGGGGGGCCGGGCGGCAGGGGGTGCGCGGGGGGCTGGGCGGCAGCGGGTGCGCGGGGGTGCGCGGGGGTGCGCGGGGGCGCTGCTGAATGCCGGGCGGCCCGCGGACCGCCTCGCCGCCAGGCCGGAAAGCAAGGTGCCCCCTGCGTCCTCGGCCTGAACCGGCCGGCTTCCTTTCTGGGTCCAGTCCAGGCTCTAGGGCGTCGGGGCTGCCACCCCCACACGGCAAAGTACCTGGAAAACGGCCTCGAATGGCGGTGTTTTCCACACCACATGCACGAGGACTTGGGCTCCTTTCATTTCGTACTGCAAATTCAGAGCTCGGGTTGATGCCCCTGGCTCTCGCGTCTCTCCAGCTGCGGCCTGGGTACAGCGCTCTGAAATCCAGAGCCACCCCCTCCGGATTCGGGAATGTTCACACATGTGCACCTGCTAAATAGCCCTGTCAAGTCGCCAGATGATCGTGCCCCACTGGCCTGCACGTGCGGCAGGCTGACATTCCCATACCACGGGCCGCAGTTAGGAACCGGACTAACTTTTGAACACATGCACACAGTCGCAGGCCGCATAGACTGGCAGCGCAGGCGAGTTCAGAGAGAGCACCACTGAATACGCCTGGGAGGGCTGATGGACACAGCCCTAAAGCACATGTGAAGCAGATGATTCGCACTCTCACCAGTACCCGCCATAGCTGTGTGAGACGTACCTTCATCAGCATGTTACAGATGAAGAAATCAGGGAGTAATGGCAAAGCTGGAGTTCAGACCGGCTGTATCTGAGACTGATTATTTAGTTCTCCCTCATACTGCCTGTCCCCTACTCTGCTGTCTCATATTTAGGATCTACTGAGAAGGCAGGTAGAAAAAGTCTTATGATGGGCATTCAAATGGTTGCGGAAGGCCAGGCTCACACACAGAGCTCTTCCGGAGAAGGTCTTCTGCCAACTCACACTGCCATCCTCAACACATAGCCACAGTGTTTCTTCCAAAAGGTGGTTACTTCAGACTTTATTCATGCAGAAGTTAAGATGATGAGAGGAAACCAAATGTGGTATGAATGTTGTGTGAGTCATGAGACATAAAAGTCAGAAAAGGAGTCTCAAGAATTAAAAAAGTTAGAGAACCTGAAATTACAGTCAGTTATACAACCTTAAACTTTCTTGACAAAATTGGGTACTATCTGGTCAACAAAAAGAGAAATATTGTATAGCCATGGGTCTATTAGTCAAAAATGAGGACGGGCCGTAACTGGGAAACAAAAAAAAAAAAAAAGTGTTTATCATAAAGTGTCGCCATAGCTTGACTTGGGGTGAGACACTTCAGTTTCTCGCTTCCTACATTTGTAAAATGGGAATTATTACTTGTATATCACGTGACCAGTGTGATGTTCCAGTAAAAACGGTGCTACAAATTTGTATCATCTTTTCAGAAATTATTCTATGAATTTCAGTTTCACAGTTAGACAAACTCTACTACATAAGTTTTCTTTTCCCAAGTAAAGATTTTTCTCCCTAAGTGACCATCCTGCAAAGCCTTGAAAAAAAATTCTGTGAACTAAAAGCCACTTCTGCCCCAAGTGTTACTGAATTTCTCAAACTTCTCCTTTCATTTTAATTAATTATTTCCAAAGAAAGGAACCCTACTTGGGGTGAACGTGTTGAGAACTTTTTTATTTAGAGTGAGGAGATAGTAATACAATTGTTAACCTCATTCATTGTTGTTTTTTTTTAAATGACAATCATACCCTTGCATAATATAAAATCGTTATTTGTTTTATTATGTTAAGTATATCAAGAGAAATACTACACATTCACATCCCTAAGCAAATCTTTTTAAGCCAGCTTTTAGGCTGACCATAATGAAGAGATTTATCTGTTCTGATATTACTGAAGCAAAAGAGACAGAAAATAGGTGTACATGATTTACATGTATGAAGTCTTTAAAAATTAGAAAAAAATAGTATACACTTATTTTGGTAATAGGTTTAATGAAATCAGTGGTATAACTTTAGTAATACTCATTTCATATAGAACTTCCCATATAACTGATAGAGAAGTGTGCATAGGGCAAACCTTCAAATTAGTCTTAAATCTTCCCAAGATCATGCTTCAGCAATCTTATTTCCTACTTGATGATTTTAACAGTTTTCAGGACCATACCTGTCAAAGAACATAGTATTTAAGTTATTAATTTTTTTAATGTTTTGAGACTTAAATGTTGTATATGGTTGGTAAAGAATATATATTCTGCAGCTTTGGGTACAGTGTGCTAAATATATGTCCATGAACAAATATGCTTACGTTGTTGACATCAATTTACATCTGCTTGACATAATTCAGTTAATGCGAGAGATGAGTTTAAATATTTTAACAGGATGGTAGATTTTTCTATTTCATCTTATAGTTCTTTCAGGTTCTGCCTTACACAGTTTGGGGCTGTGTTATGTATGCTAATACGTAACAGTTTATAATTTCTATGTCTTCCTGGTAAATAAAACCATTTATCATTATGTTGTTACTTTCTTTACCTCCAATCATACTTTTGCCTTAGAGTCTAAACAGTTTTCTTCTGAATAGTATTTGCCTGATGTTAGCCTATCTCTTTTCATCCTTTTACATTCAAACTTTCTAAACCGTCATGTTTCAAATGTACCTAAAATTTCTTTAATCTTGATTTTTAATCTAGTCTCATCATCTTTGGCTCTTACATCAAGCTTTCAGATAATTTGACCGTATTAAAATTGTTGATAAATTTAGGCTGGGTGCAGTGGCTCACGCCTGTAATCCCATCACTTTGGGAGGCTAAGGCGGGTGGATTAATTGAGGCCAGGACAGGACTTAGCATGGCCAACACGGTGAAACCCTGACTCTACTAAAAATACAAAAATTAGCTGGGTATGATGGGTGGTACACGCCTATAGTCCCAGCTACTCAAGAGGCTGAGGCTTCAGAATCACTTGAACCTAGGAGACAGAGGTTGCAGTGAGCCAAGATCATGCTACTACACACCAGCCTGGTTGACAGAGTGAGACACTGTCTCAAAAAAAAAAAAAAAAAAAAAAAAAGAGAGAGAGAGAGAGAGAGAGAAATGCTGATAAATTTAAATCTATTTCTGCCATCTACTTTTGTACTTCCCATTTATTTCCCCAGTCTGTTTTTCTTTCACTTTTGCATTCTTTAGGATTATTATATATGCTTCCATTTCTGCCCCCAACTCATAGTTTTGAAGTTATTTACTCTATTTCTATTCTTTAGGAGTTATCCTAGAAATTTTAATAAGGACATTTTAACTTAATAAAGCCAGAGTTTATAACTATATCCACCCTCTCTCAAACAATACAAGGACCTCTTAAAACCTCTTTCAAAACTAAAATCACCTTCAAAAATACATTATGAATGTTGTTTTATACAGTCCATGTTTGTTTAGATTTACTCAGAACTTTGCATTTATTTTGCTCTTCTTTTATATTTTCATCTTAGATCTTCCATCTAGGATCACTTTCCTTCTGCCAAAAATTCTTTCCCTTTTTGTTTGAATTAGAATGCATTTGTTTCTCTCTCATTCTTGAAACATATTTTCACTGATGAAGAGTTCAAAGTTTACTATTAATTCCTTCTGCATATTATCAACATCATTACACTGTCTTCTAGTTTCCTTAGTAACAACTGGAACTTTGAAAGTAATCTTGAAATGTCATCTGTTTGTTTTTTTTTCTCTCTGACTGCATTTATGATTTTTCTTTTTGTCTTTAGTTTACTGTAGTTTCACTGTGAAGTATCTAGGTGTAGACTTCTATTCATCCGTTTTTCTTGGTTTCTTTGATTTTCTTGACTCTGGCTTGGTGACTTTCATCAGTTCTGGAAAATTCTGAACTCCTTTCTTTCCATTCTTTCTCGGATTCTGGTAATACACATATTATTCTACAATCCATGTTTGTCAAACATCTCTTTCATAGTATCTCTCTCCTTATATCTCTAGGCTGTATTCTGGATAATTTGAAAAATATTCTCTTGTTCACTAATTCTTTCTTCAGCTTTGTCTCATTTTCTGTTAAAGTCATCCATTTAGTTTTATATTTATATTATTTTTATTTCTAAAGTTCTGTTTGGTTATTTTCTAAATCTGTATTCTCTTAACTCAGATTTTCAGCCTTTGTTTAATTTATTTAAAATATTTAATATACATACTTTATATTTCTAAAAATTTTAATATCTGAAGCATCTGTGGTACTATCTGATTTTTTTCCTCCTTGTTCTTACTTACGGTCCCTTGCTTTCTTGTGGGTATGTGATTTGTTTTTATGTTATGTGATCCTTGGAACTTTATATATAGAATTTGAGTGAGAGCTGAAGTGAAAATGAGTTCTCTGGAGAAGATATTCATTTACTGATGGGAGATGCCTGAGGTCACTAGCAATTCAGAACCACTTAACACTAAATTCTCAGCTTGAAATTCTTCAGACCATTCATGTGAGATCTGGCTTGTAGCTATGAATCCTCTGGGAAGCTTTTTTCCCTTAAGTCTGCTCCATTGTTAGAGACCATTTTCCTTGAATACCTTTGGGTGTCAGCTTTATGAAGAGTATCCTATTGGATTTCCCAAATGAGGAAGGGTCTCAAGTCCAACAAGATCATGATAACAGATGCTCAACTTCATCTAGTTTAGGAAAATCACTAAAGATGAAAGGTGGCTCCTTGTGGCTACTTTTATTTGTTCCCCATACCCCA